TAACATAAAAATTATTGCTTTTTCCAAAATATTGTCTATATCTCAAATTTTCGTTTATGAAACCACCTTTTGAATTCTAACAAAAAAAATTCCTTGTGAAATTTTGACATATGCTATAACCCGCCCAATCCTAAATACACCCTTACCCTAACCCGAAGTAGGGCTTAATTTTTTGATTTATAAAAGTTGTTTTAATTGGCATATTACACGGATTTACAAATCAATACCCGTGTTCATACACACTGTGTACCAGGGATGGTAAATGATCTGAAATGACCCAAATGACCCAAATGACAAATGACTAGTCATTTGTCATTTCAACGTTCAAATGACCTTAGAAGGTCATTTAACATATGTTAGTTAATATCCTAATACCTTTTAACCAATCAGAATTGACCGCCAAGCAAAATTAAATTTTATTAAAAATATAATCACTATATAAAATCAAAATTTTACTAGATCAATTAATATTTATACCTTAATTAATGTTGTTCCGGATAATAAATTGCATATGTTCTGAAATTTTTATAAATTGAATAACTTTTTATTAATTCACTTCCACATCTTATGTTTATATAAAAAAAATTTAAATGTTTCATATAAACGTAATATGCGAAAGTGAATTTAATATGTTGCTACGATTATCGATTAGAAATTCAGCCAATAAAATTACTTTATATGTAAATGACCCAAACGACCTAATGACCCAAATGACCTGGTCATTATTTGATGACTTGAGGTCATTTGAATTTTGATCAAATGACCAGGTCATTTACCATCCCTGCTGTGTACAATTATAAATTTTCTTATAAGTATAAATTTTTTATTATTTTATAAAAAATACAAAAAATGTTTTAAAACACAAAAAAATAAAAAACATGTTTTTGCCATCTCTATTTATAATATATTGGATAAGTTATAATAAAGCTTATATTACTAATTTACGCTAAATTGATCTATTTATAAAAATGATCTGACATCTAATTGGATGTGGTATATAACTTCTAATCAATGCTTTCCGTCCTTTTGATCTGTTGGTTTATTATATTAGCTGGAATTTCAAAATTATTAGAAGCAGAAGCTATATTATATAAACAAAATATTATGTTAATTAATACAATAACCTTTAAGATAAATTTAAAAATACTAGTTTCTACAATATCACAAAAAGCCATCAACTTTTAATTATAAAAATTTTAAACTTCTCATAATTTTTTAAATTAAACAATTTAAAAGGTTGTTTATATATTTAATAGCTTTTGTTAAAAGCATCAAATATACAAAAATTATTTGGATATCTTTTATTTTTCAAGATTTATATTACTTGAAACTTATATAGTTAAATTTTTGGCGTTTATATAAAAAAAAAACATAACAAAATTTAAATTTATTAATAAAAATTTAAATTTTATTAATAAAATTTAAATTATATTAAGTTTTTCTGCATTTTATTAGTTAATTATATTACACAACAGCTAAAAATTGGCGCCTATATATAAAACTATGTTGGCTTTAAGTGGTACCCGCTGTATAATATAATATAAGATACGATCAAACATACCATATATGCTAAGTTGGTCTTTATAACGTTGAGTAATATTATGTGTATTGATATATTTACTCAAGTAGACGATATCAGGATGCTCTTGTAAAGTTATTGAAAGCTCTGGAATTCTTGCATCAGCATCCATAAACTCACTGATTATTTGTAGTTTTTCGTCGGATTCATCAGATCCATCAAGTTTGTTCGGTTTACTAGATTCATCATGTTCATATTCATCGGGTTGACTCACAAAGCTATGCCATCCAGAAAGCTTATAGTAAATTGTTTCAGCGGTAGGCCGCTGTTGCGGACTTGAATGCATGCATAATTTTGCCAATTCAACATAACAATTGGGTGTCCCTAAAGCAAAATCAGGTCTCCTTCCGCCGCAAATTTCTAACGCAAGTTCAGTATCAAATGAACGCCCGCAGTATGGACGTATTCCAGTAGTCATTTCTGCCATAATAACGCCAAAACTATATATATCTGCTGATGATGTATATTTTTGACCTAATAAAACCTCAGGGCAACATAAGGCATAATTCCATAAATTCCATTTTTTATGTATTCTTCATTCTTTCGAGATAATCCTAAATCTGCAATATAGGATTTTAATGAACCAAGCCATGATTCTTCTTTATGCTGTAAAATATTACCGCAGTGAAGATCACAATGAATGTATCCTGCTTTGTGAATTTTAATTAAATCCTTTATGACATCAATTAATATTGACAATTTATCTTCCCAATTAAGCTCTTTAAAATTTAATTTTAAATAATTATGAAGATCTCCTTTATTGGCATATTGAAACACCATCATATATTCTTCCGTTTCTGTATTCTGAGTTAATCCATATACTAAAAGCCTGCTACCACTCAGTCTGCAATGCATATGACTTTTAAACTAATCGAAAATAAAATTTATGTGAATTAGAGATACTATTTGCTATAGACAAATAGTTATATTATCAATTATTATAAAACGCACCTATGGTGGTTTTGCACCTATTATATGTTTTTATTATGTTTTTTAAAATTTTCTAAG